CCGGTACGTGACTGCCAGCTCTCTGCACGTTGTTCTATTTACCGTCAGAAACGTGACGTACAGCGGGCTGAAAGTGCAATCCATGCAAGTTTTCTTGAGTTCTGGGAGCCCTACCCTCAAATACTGGTGTATTCATGATTCAAATGTGTGTGCTTTTATCGCAACAAGCGTGTTTGGCGATACTTGATAATAAGAATATATTGGCACCAGTGTAATCAAACAAATTTTACCGGCAAATGAGATACAAAGTTTAACTCTTATAGCTTATGCACCACCTTAGAAGCCCATGTGAAAGAATCGACCTACTGCCGCGAGAAAATGGAGTACAATCATTTGAATTACTACGTCTATTCCTCACTAACAATCCACTGAGCTCAAGTAAACGTGCACAGACAATGAACGTATATTTATGTCCAGAAACAAAACAAGGGGTTATATCAACATTTACTCAATGAATCAATGGAAATTGGCCGGAGCATTTGATCGAGACGAGGGTAATTGACTTAAAAGCACCAGACAAGATGATATTCCTAACCTGCTAGTTTTTAATACAGAATTGATGAGACGTTTTAAAAAATAAACAAAATGGCGACTTTTTGGGTTGAGTTATTCTGGTATGAAACATCAAACAAAATACACTAAGAATTTAATAATATACACTATTATGAAGCATTTTTCAGAATTACAGGATTCTTAGATTTATAAACTTAGACAAACAAATTCTTGGTGCTGTGGCAAACGTAATGCAATTAAAGGCCAAAATTTCTTAATCGCATTAAATTCGCAAAAAATTCAAATGATTAATTATTTTGCACAAATGCATTATTAAACATATTTGACTAGGGAAGAAATATGTAACCTGTAACGATTTTCAAATTTCCAACTTCTGTATTGCGAATAAGTACTGCTAGAGTAAGAAAACAAACAATGTTCTTTTTCTTATTATCACTGTAGCAATACCGAGCAATATATATACACATGGTCCATGAATAATGGTAATAAGTATACAATGTGACATGTGTTGGTAACTATTATTCTATAGCGTTTTTAAATTTTTTTTTATCAAATGTTTCTGTGGAATTTTGTTTCGGCCTTGTTAGGCACAACAGGATATACAGTGCACTTCTCGCATTATTTCCAATGGTGGTGGCTTTGCTGGGCCAGCTCAGTCTATCCAGCAAAAGTGCTCCAGGCAGAATAGAACCTGATGGAATCTTCAGGCGGGTAATGAAGGGTGATGTAAGAGGGTAAATGATGATCACAATGAAACCATAAACCAGATTTGCCAGACTTCGGAGGTATTTGTCTCTACGTAAGATTGTATATTATGATTCCATATTTGTTATTGTAAAACCAATATATTATTATGAGCACTATTAAAATAAATAAATAACTTACATATAAAAACCTCTTACAATTTTACCCTCACATCTTCATGCCAAGGCGAGGATTTTCTCTGACGGATTGATTGATGTTATACTGTACGTCAACTGTGTTAAGGTCATTAGTCCCGTATGCGAGGTGGCGGTGATAATCCCCACTTGGATGAAGAGATCCGTCGCCGTTGGGTAACGGGGTTTTCCCAACCAGGTATCTCCCATCAATGGCGCTCCCCGCTAGCCGAGCAAAGCTCTAAGCTCCCGACCGGTCTCCCGACATGTGTAATAGTGTTGTGCATAAATTTGTGCGTAAGTAACGTGTGAGAATTGGACAAGGAAGAGGAAGGAAAGATCGCACGCGGTCTCTGGTTAGTGTCGAAAATTCTGCCACCGCCGGGCATTGAACCCTAGGATCTCCCGGTCAGAGGCTCTTCAGTGACACTAATCCATGCCATAGACTACCTAAGCCATTGGAGGTTCTCTGAGAGACGTTTGATCCGCACTTAAAGATAATGGTTGAAGAATGAGGATTGCTCGCGAAATCTGGCTTCCGAAGCGTCTTGCGGTAGGCTATTTCTGAAGCAATTTATTATGGTTAACCGCTTATCAGTATATAAAGGAGATAACAATAGCGGCTGTATGTGACTGCTCGAGAGCTGAAAAAAAACCATTCTTTACCTTTGGTCTCTGGAATTCTGTGGATAGAATCCATTCACATTATCTCGGAGACTGAGATGTGAAAAAAAACGATTTTCCTGGGCAATCTGAGATCCCAATTTCCATATCAAATGTAAGTATACGCTTTCGAGTCAGCTAAATCAGATAAGAGACTTATTCTAAAACCAAAACCAGAACGCATTCCTGCATCTTAGGAGTAAACAAACGTATTACTAGGTATGTTACTCGTAGTACAAAAGTTTGGATGTGACGTTATCTACGAAATTACGTATCTTATAAGAGTCAAAAGGACGAAAAAGTTTCTAATTTGCCTGAATCCAAATATTTCGTGTATGTAGTTTTGTCAGTCCGACCCTAAGGTGGCGAATTATGCCTCTTCGCGTTTGTACCATCTGTTACAGAGATGCTCCTAAGTTCTACGTGTTTTATATATAAGAAACTTTTTTTGCGTGGGAGTTCAATAGATATGGAGAGTATTTTTATGTCCTAAATATCTTCAAATATGCATTTATGACCTAAAACTTTTGAAATGCACTTTAATGTGCAATTAACAATATATTTCCTGCTTATAATTATCTCGATATAATTTTAGGAGACGTATGATTGGAATGAAAATACGTATCCTTGTTCAAACATTGTATAATCTTCCTTTCTTTGCGAGAGAAATAATTAAACTAAATATTCTCTTTAGTGAAGTACATTGTATGTTTTGTTGCATTTCTTCTGACTTTTCAAAATTATGATATCAAGAATTGCACAAGGGTACTATAAATCCAAAAGGAAATAACACAAACGGTGACAAGCGCTTCCTAATCGATGATCGCTCAGAAATATATAGATCCTGTGAAAAGATAAAACGTTTTAGTGGTAAGTCTTTATTTTAAAGAACGATGCAAAATATGTCTTTGTAATTACACGAATATGCACAAAATATGCACAAATACGCACTAACATAATAATAAACAAACAAGTAGCATCCAAATCAAACCTAATGTCAAGAAATTTCACTTAGCTGTGCCCTGAAGCGACCGACAAAAATATCAAAATCATAGAAATCCACTCCTAGTAATCATACCGAACCCAAAGTAGAAATAAACGAAGATTAGGAAGAGAATGCAAGTGAATTTTAATTTGAGAAAGGTCGAAGGATAGATTGAGTTGGTGATACAGGCTACTAACAAACGTCGTTGTTGAAGTTATGTACAACTGCAAAAATATTTCGTGCTTATTCTTTACAAATACAAAAAAAATGCAAGAATAAGATGGTCACATGGAAATTGAGAGTGACACTAATACATCTGACGAATTCTTTATACTCATCTGAGGATGGTCATTCAAGATAAGGAAATATTGTGCCAGTGAATTATCAATCAAGAGCATTTTAATCAACAAATAGAATATTCAGACATGGCAACAGAAGTATCGTGGTAGTTCAAACTATTAGAATTCGTGACAGACATTATCAAACCACGTCAAAAATGCGGCTTGTTTTAATAAATAATAAATTCATACAAATCCAAAACTAATATCTGGGACAACTTATCCCATGCTATGTGGGCTACCGTAAAGATCTTCAGGTGATGCGATATATTGTCTCAAAAACTAGCTTTGGTTTTGAGTGCATTTAATACTGTATTGAAACATACACAATTTTGCCGTGGTTTGATTATCACTAACACTCATTCTAACAGCGTGTGCAAAGCATAACAATCACGATATAAACAAGGCATTAATTCCATTTTCTCGTAGGCAACCTGTGCTGCAGTAGTCTCAAAGCTCCCCTTCTACTTTGGAAGGAGGGATTCAAATAAGAGGTCGGTTCAGAAAACAGAGTTTGTGACGGCCACAGCGGGTCGCGGCAGGTTATCTTGCGGTTTCCATTCCACCGTTGCTCTATCATCGTCCAACAAAATCGTTGACAACTCGCAACGTGGGTTTAAAGCTTAGAGAGAGTCATAATCATTATAAGGCTCCTTCTCTTTGATGTGGATATAGGATACAATTCGGGGGATGTTATGATATAGAAAGACCCAGGTTCTAATAAATGACAAAAAATGCATCCTATCAATAAAATTCTATTTCTTGGCAAGTGACTTTTTGGACATTGACACTGTGTTATACGGGATACCTTATTATATAATTGTTTAGTATTATTACTTTTCAAGGAAAACATCAAACATGTGTGTATGAAAGAAAAAAAAGAAAGAGAGAGAGGGAGAAAGAGAGAGAGAAAAAGAGAGAGAGAAAGAGAGAGAGGGAGAGAGAAAGAGAGAGAGAGGGAGAGAGAAAGAGAGAGAGAGGGAGAGAGAAAGAAAGAGAGAGAAAGAGAAAGAAAGAGAGAGAAAGAGAAAGAAAGAGAGAGAAAGAGAAAGAAAGAGAAAGAAAGAGAAAGAAAGAGAGAGAAAGAGAAAGAAAGAGAGAGAAAGAGAAAGAAAGAGAGAAAGGGAGAGGGAGAGAGAGAAATATAGAGGGAGAGGGAGGAATGAGGGGAGTGGGAGAGAGAGGAAAGGGGAGAGGGAGAAAGAGGAAAGAGGGGAGAGGGAGAAAGAGGAAAGAGGGGAGAGGAAGAAAGAGGAAAGAGGGGAGAGGGAGAAAGAGGAAAGAGGGGAGAGGGAGAAAGAGGAAAGAGGGGA